CGATGTCAGTAGTCGGCTTCCTGTAGACGACTACAACTAGACACCTCGAGGTGGTAGATAGTCATACTGAGCACAATATGGATTGATCAGGATTGATAAACTCTTGGTTGTGCGCTTGGTGTACCTCCAGGCATGATCGTAAGTATAAGGCTACTCCACCCCCGATTCCTGTTTTTCTGTAATGGCGAAACTTGACAAATTTACGGGAACACTAGTTGAAATGCTTCCTCTTCACGGTAATAATTTTGTTCCTTTAGTTAGCCCACTAATACATATGAATATTAACTGACTATCTAATTTATTCTAAAAATAATACCAAAATTAGCAGTGATTCAGAACTGATTGTTTTTAGGTTTCTATGCATAAAATACTTGTACTACTTACAAGTTAAGCTATTAACCAACGGCTTTTGCTACGCATATCAGAGTGTCTTACTAAGATATCTCTACACGAAGTCATTCTTCATTATTGTAACAGAAAGAGAACGATGAAAATCCCTTTGCAGCTTTTTTGTTGGACAGTACTGTCATTTATTTGTTTCTTCTCCCCGTCGTGTATTTTAACCTTTGTTCAGATCTCGTTTAACCACACCTTTGGTTCTGCAGTCTTCTTAGTCTGAGCCTTCACTATGTTATTTTGATTAAAAAATTACCTTTTGTTACCTAATTTTCTGTTGCGTGTTGCCGGACTATTGACAGTAAGGTCGTGTTTGACTAAGCACAAGGTCACGGCGTAATTCAGTTTGTGGCTGTTTGACTGTCTGCTTGGGAGGATTGCTGGAATCCCTGCAGATAGGTATTTGATCCCACCTTGTTGGGAATATTTTTATTGATTCCCAGGTATTGTACCCCTTAGTATTAACTGTTTTTTATTGTTTAGCGCGTTGCTTTGCGTCAGAGAAACTTCTGACTGTATAGCACAGGCTGTACCGTTTGAGGCATTTTTTATTTCTGATGTAATTTGTTCTATTTCCTAAAATAGAACCGTTTAAATCCAGCACGAAGTTTGTGTTTTGATATAATTTAATACGAGTGTCTCAAAAACGTAGTCTGACCTAATCGAATACATTTTGGTTCGTCAGTCCTGCGTTCAAACCGAATACTGGTAGTTCGGTCGTTACAATTATTATAACTCCGCTTCGTCTAAAGCTTGAACAACCACACATATTCTCATTTTTGTGTTAATAATGAAATCAAGAATTTTGGTATTATAATCAGAAAGGTGTTTTGTGAATAGATTAGTAATTTAATAGTCGAATTCATATGCTCACTGGTGACTCTCTCCAAGAGGTATTTCCTGGAGTTCTGGTGAGAAGCGGTGACTAGTGGAGTTCAACCAGGTCTGTTGTGGTATAGTAACTCCACGAGGACAATGGTGGACGATGGCCTAATACTGTGGATTGGTTGAAGTTAGACATTAACACGTTTGGATGCCAGCTCAGTGGTCTAATGGTTTAGCGTTCGCATGCTAGGCCGATAGGTCCTGGGGTAGAATTTCGTGAGCGGGATAGTGGATGCGCATTGCTGAGGTGTTACATACTAGGACGAAACGGCTGCTTAGTGCTCCCAGCTTTTCCATGGTGGTCTAGATTTAATTGACTCATAAATTCAACAATTAAATTTTGGAATTGTTACATGTATTTTCCAATCAGTTTCTGCCTCTTTTTTATTTAAATTTCAGCCAGTCACCACCCGGAAGATTATTATAATTATTTTAGTAACCTCTGGTGCACAACAATCCCGCTCGATATGGTATGGAACCAACGTCGCGTTGATTCTGGTGGGAGGGTAGTGTAATGCTACTGGTTCTAACCATACAATCTTCAAGGCCGAACATGAGATAACTAGGAAAATATATATTCGACATTTCACACATAGAAAAGGTCAAGAACTGTGAGCGCAGAAAAATTCACTTAAGAACCAATCGAATGGCACGGCTTAGCCATGCGAACGTGGTCATTCTTGTGTGACGTGCCTCTCCAATTCATATTAAGTACGTTGTTCTATCTCCAGCCTAAATGTGTTCTTCAGAAACGCCAATCATATTGCTTATAGTTACGAAACGATGAGTCAGTGTAGACAATGATGTGACTTACACGTAAGATCATATACGTTAGGCAGTCACATCATGACATATCTACAATTTTAAGATTAGGTCTATTATTGTAATAATGCTTATAACGAAGTAGACCATGATTCTACAAGCACACTGATATGATGCGATTGAACAAAATCTCCAAAGAGACACAGTACTACTGAAACAAGGGACACACAAGGACTACATGGTCTTCAGTCTCCAGAAATGCCAGCTGATTCTGTTGCGAGCTACAAAGCAGACCAACATCGACGACCTTCTCTTCAGGCGACGCTTAGAACAGAACTTCAAAACGCGCGATTCACATCTTTTAATAATCAAAACCTGAACACAAGCAATAACCACCTGAGACATCAGGCCAGTTAGTACGGAGCGTTTAGAGTCGTTCGAAGACGGACGGACAGCCTGGTATCTGAGTTCTTTCTGACGCTGCCCAACACTTACATCTAGGATAACTAGAGACCCACGTCATTGTTTCCCCTGCTCTACTTGAAGGGGATACAAACGTCTTGAAGCGACTGTAGTGGCTGTTCAACAAACTGGGTGATAACATTTATGGGCAAACCACTGAGCGTTGTACTTGCTGCTTTGAATACGAGACGACCGGATATTGGAGTAAATTATACCGTAGCGGTAAATAAATTCCTAAAATCAATAGATCTGTTAGTCTTCGACATTTGATGCTGACCACATTAGTTTTAATGAGCTCACTTAGGTGAAGGTGATCGGTCATGGATCTGTAGCGTGGTGTCGAGTTGAGATTAACTATGAACACCGCTACCAAGAAACACGTCCCAAGTAAATCAGAAGGCGAAGGTTGAACGTAACCAAATAAATCTATAAAATCCCCGAGAAGCCAAATATCAGAAGACAGTTAATGGATGAAATCGAGATATATTCGCTGGCGATCTCGTGGTATCTAAAGGATACCGAGGTCGTGCTAGGATACAAGCTTGGTTACAGAACGTAACCAAATTCGCGCGAAGTCACAATCAAAGTGTAAGAATAAGAATGGAAGCACAATATAGCTGTCATTAGCACAGTCAAACAAAAACACATTAAAACAGTCGCTGGTACAATTGGCTTTAACAATAATTGTTTTCAATAAACCAATCGCGTTCTCGTGATAAAAGTCAGTCACTACACATCCGCACCTGTTCACCAGAGCACGCCGTCGTCTGTTTCTCTAACAACCACTAGTCTGTTTGGATAAGTCACTCCTCGATATTTCGATGTTCTATAAAATATATCTTCGAGTCTTTTTGCTTACGACTTCTGATTTCACTTGTTTGGCACGTTTCGACTGTAAAAGGTGTTACTAGTTAAGGCGTTGTCAAATTCTCAATACTTGTGCCATCTTTAATGCTATGCACTCCTGAGTACGCCAATAAAAGCATCCGTACCACACTCTCTCTGAAGCAGCAGCACCTGATGCGTATCTCGTGCTTTACTTTTGAAACCATTACCGTCTCTATCATTATTATTACTATTAATTATAGCTCACTTCCACTCACTTCAGCCATTTTTACTTTGATCTACCTGTTTATCATAAAGTCTTGTCTGTTTGTACTACCTGTGTGAATGATTGACCTACCCTTTCTGACCCTTGCCTTTTATTAACTTCTCTACATTTTAATTTTATGATCCTTTACATTGCTTGTCCTCGTAATCAGTCCAGACTGCCAAGAGACTGGAAAGAAGCGATAATAAGTCCGGTGAATAAGGCTGGGAGTAGGGATTTCGTTAGTAACTATAGACCCGCTAGCTTGACTAGCGCAGTTGTAAAAGTGATGGAAAAAATCCTTCGGATATCTGTTATAGACTATGTTGATGGGCATAATCTTTTATCCACGGAACAACATGGTTTTCAGAGAGGCCTATCATGTTTGACAAATCTCTTTGCTAGAGGAGATTGGGCAGCAGCAGAAGATCTGAATATTCCTGTAGATATGATCTTCGTAGATCGAAGTAAGGAAGATGGTGACATGAATGGACAGGTGGCCACTAGAATTAAATCTTAACAAGCGTATGGGGATGCAACTAAATAACTATGATGATTCGTATCACTACACAATATGTGGATTCGTGCTAAGAAAGATCTAGGAGTCACACTAGGCAATGATCTCAGAACCAACAGTCACTGAAAGGCTGTTGCTGAGAAATGTTATAAGATGTTATGGTCCATTCTTTTTTCTTTGTAGTATTCGGATGACGAAATGTTTAGATTATTATACCCGATTTTCCTGCGACCACATATGGAATATGGGATTCAAGCAGCGAGTCGTTGTTTCAAGTGTGAAGCAGATATGCTGGAAAGAGTCCAATAACGGGGAACTAAGATGGTTAAAGGTCTGTCTGAACCATCTTATGAAGACCGACTGAGACACCTTAACTTCTGTTATCTTACCGTAGAATACGAGGTGATCTAATATTGGCTTGTTGTATACTGAACGGTGACCTTGGTACTAACACGTCTTATCTTTTACTTCCATCTTGAATTGATCCGTTGAAAGGACATTCGAAGAAAGTCCGAAAAACGAGACCAAATCCTTTACGTCTAGACTTTTGTTTCTCGCGTTGAGTATTGAGTTACTGGAATTCTCTACCGGAACACGTAATATCAGTACCTTCTGTTAATATATTCGAAATGATATTGGAACTCCACAGCGTGAAAAACCTCAATGATTAATAAAGGTCGATAGACCTCCTATCCTTATTACTGAAGACTGAAGACTGAAATGCACTCATTCGTACTCGACAAAATACACCATCAAATTGACAAGGATTCATGAAGCTAAATGATTAAGTTTTTATACTGGATGGTAAGGAAGACCCATAACTGTACCGTTACATCAAGGAGCGGAGGCAATGAAATTTATTGATTTAAACTAGCTCACTAGACAGATATTGTTCATTGAATTAGAGGCAAATTTGATGTGTGCGCTCCTGTGCCGGCCGTATGATATTTCAAATACTTGTGTAGGTACAATGATTTTGATGCGAACATCTGCAAGCATTGCTGACGCTTGTCTATCCTATGAACAATTGGCACCCTGTTTTAAGGATAGTCACATATGTTACTAGTCTGCGTGGATGACTTACATATACTTTACAAGCTTGTATTGAATTTTTATCCCCCATACCTAACAATATTCATTTGATACAGTTTAAAGTTTTGGTATATTTGGTAAATTAGATTTTATTTGATATACATAAGGATCCAACATTTTCGACAATGGATAAAGAAAAGACGAACACCTTTAAAACATCCACTCAAATGGATTCCTTAGAAAAATTAGCAGTTTCTCTTCCGTCGGCGGCTTTCGGCTTAGTTCCATGTAGTGAAAATAAGGACTTCGATACACGTCTCTTAAATAAGTTTCAATCGGGAAGGAAGGGGTTTGGTTTGGTTAAGTCGTCACGTACTCTCTCGGAACCCACTATACCAACATCTAAATCATTGAAAAGTATGACAACATCCAATTTCGTTTCTCCTACGTTTGCAAGGTATATGCCTTACTTTTTGTCATCTCTCAGCGGTGATTCAAGCTCGTCGACAACAATGTCTTCTATCTCTGTGTCGAATTTAAGTGATGAATCCAGTAGTGTGAGACTTCCATTGTCTCCAAGTCAACTGTCCTTACCAGAACCTCCAGATGGAGGTTGGGGTTGGGTTGTTGTAATCGCCACGTTTTTTGTACACATGATAACCGACGGGGTAATAGTATCTTTTGGCGTTTTTATTGAATCTCTCGTTGAGGAATTCCAAGATTCAATGAGTGCTACTTCGTGGATCGGGTCATTTTCGTATGGTATTCCTGCACTCGCCGCCCCTTTGTCTTCGTTTCTGCTTAATCGCTTTGGATGTCGAGTGACGTGCATGGTTGGTGGGCTGATAAGTGGTCTAGGATGTTTTGCTGGCGCCTTCACTAATTCTATAATATCGCTGGTCTTTTCGTTTGGCATTTTATCTGGTCTGGGTGCAAGTTTGTGCATCACATCAGCTCTTGTTGTTGTTTCTATGTATTTTGATAACAGACGAGCTACTGCCACTGGATTGTCCATAGCAGGCACAGGTGTCGGTGCGCTTGTATTTGCTCCAATGGTAGACATGCTACTGAATATTTATACGTGGCGAGGGGCTATGATGATACTGTCTGGGTTTTTCCTAAATATGATAGTATGTGGTGCTCTGATGCGTCCTGTTGAAACTGACGTCGAAAAACGACATAGACAACGTCTTGCTTGGTTGGAACACCTAGCTCGCGAGTCGGGCTTACCACCTTTTGAAAGTGCAGACTACTTGGATAAGGATGTGCTTGGTCGTATAAAGTTGCTACGTGACCATATGTTAGCTCCTCGCAGAGTTACATTGAGCTATTTACACTCAACAAATGAAATCAATAACAAGTTGATTTCATCTACTAGTTGTTTCAAAGTTTTGGAAAACAAGACGAATTTATCTAAAGATATTCTCCAAATCCCCCCAATCCACTCCAAATCACAACCACTAAATAAGAAAGCGCTACAAACCCAGGATCAGGATGTATGGAAAGACGGTGCATCCACATTTAAATCTCGAAATGTGTCAGGGAACAAGAAAGTGTGTAGCTTCATGCTCCAATGTCCGGAAGTTAGGTCCGATGTAGTTTCGTTCTCACCTTTATTTCCTATTGAGGATTTTGATTGTAGTGTACAAGATAAAAGCCATGAGGCAAATAATAAATGTGAAATTTACAATACTAACGGAAGTCTTAAATCGTTCAAGAACTTTATTCATTATAACCATGAAGACACTGTTTGTCCTAAGAAGGATGAAGCATGCGTTTTAAATCATTTTCGTCAAGACAATCAGACGTATATGCGCGGTGATTGCTGTGAAACCAGTTCCCTCAATTTTACACATAATACCTCGCAGAGTTATAATCAGAAAAACATTCTTCGAGGTTCTTCATCTAGTTTACTTGAGTATTATCGCTCTACACATCAGAGTTCAGTGAGTCTGCCGGATCTTCATCATCTCAGAAGGGTGTACAAAACCGACACTTCTAGTGAATCTGGTGTGTCATCTCAATGTTCGCTGAGGTACAATTGTAGTTGTTTGGCGAATAAAAAGTCAGGATTAAAGTCGGTGGATGGAGATGAAAAATGTCAGGATAGGGGAATATATTGTTGTAACTTCTGTACAGAAATGTGTGCCGACAAACATGATATTCTTCACCGTCTTTTTGATCTGCGACTGTTTAGAAGACCTACCTTCGTTTTGTTTATGGTTTCAAATTTCTTACTCTACTTCTGGTACAATGTTACATATTTTTTTATGGGTGTGCGTGCTATCAATTATGGTCTTAGTGAAACACTTGCAGCCCTTTTGTTTTCTGTTCTTGGTGGTGCTAACATGGTTGGTGAGGTTTTAGCTGGATTTTTGGCTGATCGTGATGGCGTCGATTCTCTGACTCTATATTTCTTCATGATTCTTGCATGTGGTGTGTCAACGTGTTTGATGCCGTTACTTACTACGTTTATGTCCATGGCAGTTTATTCTAGTAAGTATTTTCTCGTTTTCCATTGTTTCCACTTAATATTAAACTGTAGTGTAACACTCACTTACTACCAGATGTAATTGTTTTAAAGAGACAAAACAGGTCCAACTATTTAACCAAATATATGTTCGTTGACTCATCTACTAACTGTATCAATTATTTATTGAAGACATTTTGAATAACACCAATGCCACATCTTAACTGTTGGAGTGCGTTTAATTACTGTAGATGTTAATCTTTGTTAGCAAACGAAGGTGCAACTAAAGAAAACTTTACTGGCCTAAATAAGTGTATTTGTCTATCTCCAAATACTGTAGAATATGTTTTGTAACTGTACGATATTGGCATACATTTTTAATTCACTCCAGTAACGTTTTCTAGTTGACTTCCATTCGGGTCCATTAATTTGTGTGTGGCAGTAATTCCTTAGAGTTGCCGATTATAATTGTATTGTCAAGTGTCCTAATGTTTATGTCATCATATTACCTTATGCAAGATATTCAAAATGTAAGAGACCATTATTTTTAGACTATTATATATCTGTTTGATATCCCAGCAGTGTCTAAAGCGTACGCTCATAGTATAAGGGGCGACTATATTAATTAAGTAGCAGCTCTAACTTATGACTTTGAGAAAATTAATACGTTCACTATTTGTAAACGTCTCTAAGTGAAATTAAATATCTTCAAGGATCAACCCTGAATATAATGCAGTAGTTGGAAAATTATATGAAATTGTTTTCATTCTGTATGTTGACTAGCTTTTTAGTTACTTGAATTGGATTTGTTTTATGGATCAGGTTGTACATAACTAACTGATCGTACAAGAGCTCCTGCAGATTTCATTTAGGTGTTCATAGACCTAATATTGAATTTCGAGTATTTCATCTTGATGAATATTTGAACTAGGCTCTTACACTTGTCAGTATGGCTTTCCATTCTAACGGAAGTATTCAAAATATAGGTTTATTAACAGTAGTTTTCAAACTAGATGGTTTATAAACAAGGTAAAGGGGTCTCATTAGGCAAATGTTTTGCCTAAAATGAAAACAGAACCTGAAAGTTCTTGTCAATTTTCATTTTAGAATACGTTTGGGTTGTTTGCATTTTCTGCCTAGTGTTGAATACCATAGGCTACTGTCAATCAATACAAATATGGATTGGATGTATATGTTCGGTCGTAATCGTTTTTGAAATATTGTTCGTGTTTGGTAGAAGTTTAAAATAAGAGGTGTGCATATTGAAGTAAGTTTGATAAATCAGTTAAAGTTATGAATATTCGTCAACTGAATTGGTCTGCAGTATGCTGTGCATTTCGCTGCTACTCTTATTACTACCCATTGTGTTGGCTATGATGTAATTGGTTGTTTGTCTGAGTCATCCTTGGAGATGCATACATTGTGAGTAGTATTCACAAGGTAATTTTAATTTATGATTGAAGGCTTTCAGTGATATGGGTCAGATTCATCTCTCTTCAAGTCCTAAAATTAGTTTGGTTTCTTTACGTTGGATCCATCTTTTGAGTAATTTCCTTCCCTCTAGTTTCCCACTGTCATTAGTATTATTACAATCAATAGCGTGTCTTTCCTCGGGTACTCCGGTGTGTTTCTGCATTTTGAATCGACAAGCACTTGTATTTGGCTCTACACTGTTTACGCCTGTCTGCACTTTCTATACAGTTAAAAGTATCCTTCGTTTTCATTCAAATTTAGGCGTGTTTGGTATGGGATTGGCCGCTAATGATGCTCTGTGCACTGTTCTGTTGGTAGAATTTGTTGGACTCCATCGCCTTACCAATGGTCTTGGAATTTGTTTTTTTTGTCAGGGTGTCGCCAATATTTTGGGACCGCCTCTTATTGGTAAGTATGGAGCTGTTTGAAATGAACTTCAGTTGTAACGCTTTGTGCGATATAGTTTGTTTCCTATGGGATGATACCTTAAGGAAGCTGTCAAGTAATCTTAATCGGCGAGACTATAATTTATGGACGAACCAATCAGACTTACGATAACAAGTCTTAGATTTTGGCGCGAAATTCATCCACCCATTTGGTTGAATAGAGTCTTGGCATTATAGCCGATGTCAGTTCGTGATGAAAACCCTAAATCTAATTCCTAACCCTAACCATCAAGAGTAAATTATAATCCTTATTCTTCAAACTGTTTTATAACCCTTATTTAGTCCTAGTAAGTAGGTAGACATACTCAAGGTCATTATAGCATCACTCAAAGGTCGTCCGTAAACTATAGTCTCACCTCTTAATCTAATATATTGATGTGTTTGTCCTATTTTCCCACACATATTTGCATATATGTTTAGTAGAAAAAATGTGGCACCATAGCCTAATACTAATATATTTTTGTTAAAATATTTTCGGGGATTTTTTTTAGGAGTAATTGACGTCTTTGATCTATACTACTCATCATTTTATGTTATTGTGAAACCTACCGCATAACTCCAAAACCAAAAACAATATGTGTTTAGTTTTCCCCTACACTTTCTTTCTTTATAGTGGTAAATCATGCTAGTCCCGATTATCTTACACAGTCGGAAAAGTCACTACATTTTCAGGGTTCTTATAGGTTGAAGAATCTAAACATCACTAACGCTTCACTGGCGTACTGGTTTAGTGGCTAAGGTGTTTAACTTTCGGTCACCTTCACTTTGGGCAACCGGATAGTGAGTCAATAAAACATCTCATCGTTAAAAATTAGTAGTGCATTCTGCCCTATTCTTTGCTACTGAATCTCATAACCATTCTTGTATGCAGAAACTGCCACAGCAAATATCTGACTGGTCCATCGTAGCTCACTTGAACTGTGACTAGGATGGAAAGATGTATAACGACTTGGGTGTCAAAAATCCTAAGTTGGTTCACTTTTAATGAAGTATTATCATTCAATTCATGGAATCACTGTCTTAGTACTGTTTTTCTGTAAGAATATACTTTTTCACCTTATCTACATCTCACTGACAAAAGATGATTTTTACTGTTGTTATTCGCCATTTTCATTATTCCTTTTAGCAGATTGTCCATGTTTTCATAATCAAGAGTTTGATATTATCCCATTCATTCTAAATCAGTAATAAATTAATCGTCAAACTTCGTATAATATCAATCCTTATTAACCAAATGTGCGGACGAACTTTAAGTATAATTCTGACCATTAATGAAGTTTAAGGTTCTAACCAAGTTTTAGATGTCTATCATGTGAGTATTGTATGATTGATACAAAGCTGAGTGATAAACATATCGCCTTTGAACAGTCTAAATAACCAAATAAGTTTTCCATGAACCCAAATATTTCAGTAAATATGTTGAAAGATATTCATGAAAATAGTATGTTATGATGTTCGTTTCAAGGCAACAGTTAACCACTTAGTAAGTACTTCCCAACACATTTAATGTTAGTTCCTTAAGTACTGTAGCTTTCCTCATGGAATATATGTGTTTCCGGCTGCACCATTTTCAGCAAAACAACTGTTAAGATAAACTCAGGATAATCTGATTGGTACGCTTAGAAAATGTCTGATATTTATTATTTTAAGCTGAAATCGATTAATTTCATAGTGAGATTTGCTTAAAACCGTTTATTTTTACTATATAGCTGTTCATTGTTAGGGTTACTTAAATAAATGTATACACACATATAGTTAACCATAAATAGTAGCAAAAACCCAAATTAATACAAGTTTTAGAGTAATAGTTAAAACATGTGCTTTTCAAACCTTCAGTTGTGGGTTCAAACTCAACTCAACGTTCTTCGGTATGTCCCAGTGTGTAATACCACTAGCTTTCACGTGAAAAGTATGTCTTATTGCCGTGTACATGTGACCTAGAATTACTTGAAATTAATTTGAATTACAAATTACATAAGATTTATATAATAAACGTTTTAATAACCATCAGCTCCTATGGAATATAAAAAAATAATCATTATAATAGTATAAAGGTCGACTGATATTATCAAAAACTCTTGTCTAAACAACTGCAGATTGTAATTCATTTCCATTTAAAATGTTTTTTACGTAGTCATTTAGAAGTAAACATAGTCTCTCTCTCTCTCTCTCTCTCTATATATATATATATATATATATATATATATATAAGGTGAACGTTAGAGAGAATAATATTTCTACCTACTGATCAATGATTGGTTTTTTTTCCTTTGTAAATCACCAGTTTCATTGATTTTATAGCAAACGGATGTAGTAAAAGTCACTGTTGATATTTCCTGATTGCTTACAGTTACTTTATCCAATGAACTTCTATTAGTTGTATGTTTTAAATTTGTTATTTTTATATTGTACTACTGGAATATTTTTTATTCATTGTAACTGTTCCATACAAGATAATACTAATTTTTAAAATATCAATAGAGAGGTCCTACTTTACTTCCGCAGGTATTTGTAACAAGCGTTTTTTGTCGAATCACCAGATAGTAGGTTTTCCATATAACATCAGTGGTTGGAATGTATCTCAACTCATCTGAATCTCTAATACCGAAAAATTAAGTGTCGGTGCAATAGTTGGCAACATATCGATCAAGTAATCTTTAGGACGTTTGTGACAGAGCTTCTTTACAGTAATAACTTATTTTTTCTGTAACTTCAACCATTATTTCTTGTTTCATGGTTCATTGGTTATATCAACCTACGTGATATAGCAGAGATCTTTAGGAAAACTTTCATTACGAAGTCACTTGATCAGACCAACCCTCTTTCAGCTCTGTTCAGTATGTAGATGCTCTTCTAGCTAGACGAATAATTAAATCTTCCACGGTTGTATAGCAAATAGTTTTTCGACAGTCCAAAAAGAAGTCTTTGTCATATCCATCTCCGAAAGATATTTTAAGAATGTAAATGTAAAATATATCAAAGTGTATACCTGTCACTCCTCGAATTTCACTCGTTGACTAGCGTAATAGATATCAAACCGTACGAAATGCCGGTAAAATAAATTTTGCCCCAACAACCTACTTTGGCTTGCTTACCCAGGTTGCATTACTACACCACAAAGCAGAGCTAATTGCGATGAGTAATATGAATGACCCGCTTAATAAACGTCTGCTCACAAAAGTTAGCTATGATACTATAAATACCTAATATATATCCCTGTTCTCCTGTGTGTTCATTTTTTGTGTGCTTTTTCTTGTGTAATTTCCATATTTAACTCTGCAATTTATTTTGTTTTTACCTACCAAACACGAGTCAATAAATGGTTACTTTCCGAATCCTGCCTTTCACTTCTATGTTTTACTCAGGTATTTTCGAAGCTGTACGTGCTGTTCAAGTCGACCGCTTTCGACGTACTCACCTTATGTAGCTCGGATGATAGACATGTCCGACTAGGACTCTGGAAAATCTCATTGTTGTTTTATTCTGTATCTTATAAGTTTGTGATCAAGTTTCTGGTGTAGCGCTCTCAAGTTCTTCGTACCACAACATTTGGACTTGAGTTGTCGTTGTTGACCTGAGCGCTAGAGGAAGATTCATTCCAAACATCTGGGTTTCCACTAGCTTTTGTGTACTGTATTACAGGTTACTCTTTGGATAAAACCAACTATTCACATACTTATATAAATGAAGTTGGTTAGAACTTAATACGACTATATAATCATCATGGTAAAACAAAAATGCAAATAAAATAAAAGGTTGAATCATGAGTTGCAAATAAATGTCTTGTTCAAAAGAAGACTACAACATCAAACATGATATTAACGAAATACTAAGTGATTGCACAGTAAAATAACTGAATACAAGTTAATAGCAGTAACGAATGACATGAATTAAGCTCATTTAGTAAAAAATATAGTTATAAACAAGTAAAGGGTTGAGAGACCATGTAGTTGAAAGAAGAAAGAGTTGAAAAAATTACTGTGATGTAACGAAACAAGAGGTATTTTTCAAAGGCAATAAACATTTCTTTTTGAAAACACGTAGTTTTATGCGTTTAGTAGTTACGGGTTCAGCAACTTGAACAAGACTAAAGATTAGTTTTTTAATAATCACCTGGAAAAATATTACGGTACGTACTTGATGCTATGCGTCGAATGAATATTTTAAAACAGCGATCCTGAAACTCCATAACATTCAAGCGAGTATATTAAGGTAGGTCCTTTTTTATCTATCAGCCTAACTTATTTGTGAGATACACATAAATGCGTACACACAGTTGGAAATAATATGAAAGTCATACTGGTCGATCTCTGATTATTTTAGGGAGTATGTAGTTTTACAGAAAACGATCATTTTGGGTCCAGGATATCTTAGTTGAAATTGGAGCATCAACACGTTTAAAGTCAAGGTCAAAAAGTAATGGGCTATCTGGTGACTGGAGTTATTTTAAGCTTTTTATACCCCGTTTTACTGTATTTATTAACAAATTTTTATGAATACTTCTCGTTTATCGGGGACCTTTTAGCATTCATAAGTTTCTATCCTAGTTTGTATTGGTAAATATCTTTTCTTCTCTGTAAAATAGTGTCTTGGTCAGTGTGTTTTGTAACGAACTGAACAAAAGCTACTCCGGTTCAAATATAATACACTCTTTGTCAGTAAATCAAACTTTAAACTGTTTCATTTTGATACTAAAAGATTGGATCTTGTCATCCTTTTTGTGTCCCATAGTAAGCTAGATATTCGTTTCCAGAAAGTTAAGGCTATATGTAGGTTGCATGTTGATTATTACTTACCATAAACTTATCCTTTAAATACTTCAAATAATACATCGATTTATCAATTACTTCCGTAAGCTCGGTCTTTCAAGCTTACCCACAAAACTATATCCCAGGGCCGGACTTACTGAACTTCAGTTTCTACAATATGACGGTATGTGGCACTGTTAAACGGGAACTGGACGCCCCTCATCCATGTAATAACAGTTGTTTCAAATAATATACTGGCAGAAGTTCGAGGTCAAAACGTCGGTAAATAATCTCTATAATTTCAACCAGAGGCACCTTGGTAAACAAAAAAGACTATTAGGTTATCAAGGTTGTTTACATCATTCAGTCTGACAAGAAAGTCAAATGTATTAAGATATATGTAGCTGATTTTTAACACACCGGCTCCAACCTTTGTGCGATTCTGGGTACAACCTTGATATAAGGTGATGTAATCATTGATAATATAAGTCTAATAAAGACATTATGTTTATGTATCTTTGGTAGACCGCATATGTAATAAAGGTGAAACTGTCGGTGCCGTTGATTATTGTGAGTTACGTTATCAATGAGCTTCTTCCTTAAAAGTCTTTTGAGTGTATTAGTGATTTGCTTTTCCGGAGAATCAATGAAATCTTCATTTATCTAAAATCTTAATCATGTGAAATTAGTTTCATTTTAGTAATACAATCAACTGTGTTCATTAGCATAACTTGTAAACCTTCATCTGACGGCTATTACCTTATCATTTTTCCTGAGGTTTCTTGATACTATCTGATATTTTTAGATAATTCTTGATTCCTATTAAGTTGTCTATATATTCTTCATCGTTGATCTGAATAAAAAAGTAAATTCTTTGTCGAATACATTTGAATATGTTACCTAGTATAGCTAAGATTAATTAATTTGAAAGCTAAATGTCTCTGCATTAAATCTTGGGGGACTTGGTTAATTTCATTTGTAGAGTCTTCTGATGAGTATATGAATAGATAAAAAATATGTAGTATCCTTTAGTGTTTTTGAAAATCAATTCATTAGGAACATCGTATTCTGGTTATCCAGAAGTCATTTTCAACTACGTAGTTATTTATTTCAACACATATACATTGATACAAAGGAGGATCAAATTATGTATGCACCACACGAAATTTGTATGAGGGGTAGGATACTACTTGGTTGCCCAAATCGAAACAAGCGGTTTTCTTAGGGGACCACTCCCTGAGCCTTTGACATAGAGTTTTAATTCTCAGGACAGTGGAGCAACGTTAGAAGATCCAGTTTCATGGTAACCGGTGACCAAGAATATATTCATATGCCATTTGTTCCCTCAGGATCCTGGAACCCATGTTTGCCTCCGGTTTGGAATCTTAATTTTCCAACTCCCCTAGGTAGGCCTTTCATACCCATTAACCCAGTGTAAGCTCCGGATATGCGCTTCTTATCCTCCCGATTTCGTAAACAACACCCCCACTGAGAGAAGAAAGTGAGTAAAATTTCCCTGGCAGTGGCTGTATATGTGTTTTCAAACTTCATATGTATGAATGCAAATTGATAATCATGTATCATTTTAACGATACTAACTAAACAGTTTGTGTATTTCACTCACTGTTAATGAATCCAATTCATTACTACTATTATAAAGTGTAGAATATTCTGAAGTGTTGACTAACTATTATTTTAATAAATTGAATGAAGTTAGTTACATTATTGACTGGAATTTAGCGCATACATCTGTAAATTGTATACATGTTTTACCGAAAAAAATTATTTTTTTTTTTATTATTACCGGGTAGATTGATGTACTTTGTCTCATTTTGTTTATATACCTGGTTGACCGATTGAATTTGTCGATCATGCGACAATAATTCTAAGTGTATCATCCACAGTTGTAATGTTAATTGATAAATAGAAATTGAAAATATCCGTACATGCATTCATTCACATTTTTGATTGTTTAAGAAACTTTATTTTTCACAACAATAATCTTATTAGATCCATTTTATTTTATTAACCTCATCAAATGATCACTTGTTTAACCCATCACGAATGGTTTTTTGACTTTATTATTATTTGCGTAAATAATTAAAGAAAACCAACTTAGGTAACGAGTTTTGATTATGTTGACTCTAACAATAAATACAGCCATTGAATTCAGTTGTAGACTTTTATTCATAAAAATGATATGCAAATTCTTAGCCATATTTGTTTTGCCGTGGTTTATATTAGAGCTATTATATGCTCCGTAAAATCACAAACTGAAGAGACTGTCTTATGTAAGGTATCAAGAAAGCGATTGATTCAGTGGTGCACACGACAGAATACTAGTAACAACATTTTATCTCATTGTAAATGCTAACAGAGTCAGAAGGTAGGTTTTTCTGTCGGAAACTCTAGTAAGGATGATAATTAAAAAAAGCAAAGTGGAAGTGTACATTTACGTATAGATTTGATCAAAAAAATCATTTAATGCTATACTTGATATTTACGAGGTTCCATAGTCAATTTCACTCTCTACACAAATAGTTCCTCAAAAAGTGAGCTAATCAAACAGTGACCCTGAATTGTATTTGTCTTCTGATAACCATATTTTATACTGTCTCTGGGTATTAGATAGCTAGTAGTGTGTAATGTTAGACATGTTTATATCTGTCAGTTGGGCGACCTATGCTACTCGACGAGGAGTAACAGGTGTAAGTAAGTGAGTATATTTGTCAGTATAGTATTCATTTTCTCGATCTCAAAGAAACTTATCGTTTCTCAGCATTTTTATGTAGATGACTGAAATGAAGACCAAAATTCGTAATAAAAAGTATAAGTAACCAATTTCAGCAGCTAACTAAAATGTAAATATAAAGAATATGAGTAACTATGGTAGCAGAATAACTAATTTATAACCATATATATATATATATATATATATATATATATATATATATATAATCACCAAGTGATATCTAACAGTATTTAGTTATTAATTATTATTTACTCACATTATTTAACATATTTGTTTTGACACCACCTATTTGACGATATTCAGTAATGATTGTACTACCAGGGTCTTCACTAGTTGCTAAGTAATCATATGAAATACTTATCTTAAGCGGTTGGCATTTTTCGGTTTGGCAATATGATTATTGATCGCAGTACCTACCTGTGACCTAAAGTTATGATATTTTGATCAACTAAGGAGAGATACTGTATTACAAATTCTTGATAATTACATGCTACGTTTAATAACACTTACGTTTTGGTGGTTAGTAACTTGTGCTTGATAGATGGAAACATGATATATATTTATATTATGTATGTGTGAACTATGTATGTTTCTCAAATACAAAGTATTCTACGTGACACAGACATATAATTCATTGACTTAAAATCTCCAAACTAAACTGGTGAGTTGTATCTATGACAGATTCTCTTTCATTTTTCAGCAACATATATCTTGGTTGGTAATAGATTTCATTTGAACAATTTGCTTTTTCAAGTATTTTTCTTGTTATTTTATTATTGAAAATTTTAATAACGACAAACAACCATGAGCGTAAGTACTATAAACAACCTACCTAGTCATGTTCGTCGTTGTACCATCCTGATACCTCTTTGTTCGATTGGGGTTAAGTATTCTCTAAAATTTATTATTTGATAGCAAATTTCTCATTAGCGGGCTTGGAAAATGCTCCAAATGAGCTTTATTAGGGTATTTAGAAAATAATTATCAAATGCTTCCTTCGGATCCGGGATTTTGGCTACCTTGAAAAATCAATTGACTTGGTCTCAGGAATCTGATGGAATTACATCTGATTTTCTTGATATCAATATAGTTTTAATTGAATTTGGTGAAGCTAAAAATACGTTCATACTCTTTGAAAAATTCAGTGGCTACATGGATTCAATACCTCAATGGACAACGCGTTGGCCCTTGAAGCGAAATGTATTGGGTTCGAGTCTGTGTGGGCGTCAACACTGGAATTTAGTTACATCCAGCTGATGAGCCAAAGACAGGATGAAACTTGCGTATTGCATTCCACTTCTAGTTAGGCACAATTCAACTCTACTAAAATGTGTATGTGTTTCATAAAAGTTTACAACTTTGCCTTTAACCCTAACGTCAAAATTAAGTTCATGTCACATCCAGTATATTTATTATTATGCAAGTTTATAAACCATGGATTGTACTTGACTGTACGAATTAAAAAACGATAAACAGGGAGTTGTGGAACTAGATTTTGCCATCAAGTTAATGATATTCATGAGTGATAAAAGCAGGATTTGATTTTGACAACTTGAATGCCTGTAGCTGTAGTCACAAGTAAATTATTCAGGGTTGGAATCACTTCATATAAAAGATATCGTTTAGTGAGTCGAGCCCCTGACTTTTAGTCAATAAATCGCAGATCTGAATACACTGAACACTTATTTTGCCTAGTGTAGCTGGATAGTATCGTTGATTCCTAAATTGAAAATGTGACTTAAATATGAGTACTTTACATCATATACTTTAACAGAACATGATGGATTTGTGGATTTATAGTAAGTGAAGTATTACAGTGATCTATAGCTTCTACAGTCCTAACCACTTCGGAGATAAAGATAAGCTATTGTATTACTACAATAATAGTTTTATCACTTTGTCTACATGCAATTCTATTAAAAATAAAATAAAAGACTATAAATGCAATCGCGCATAACTTTCCCATCATATCATAATAACAGTTGAGTTTGACTTATTTTCATGGTATTATCAAATGAATGTATGAATTCATTAATTAAACAATCATATGCACACACAACAAGGTAACAGACCAGTTACAATTCTCTTAACTATTCCCAAGCCTTCGTTTAGATAATGTTAATTGTGATTTCTCTATTCTTCTACTTCCTACTCCCATCACAAGACAGAAATAAATATTGCAAATAAATGACTAAAATGAAAACCAGAACTCGCAATTAAAAAAATAAAAGCAATCAGTTTTAGCAACTAAATAAGATGGGAACATAAAGAAAACGGGTAACTATGGCAACCGACTAACCGACTTATAACCGTGTGTATACATGGATACATATATTAGTTATCGACTTGGTAACAGTTAAAAGTACAGTTAGGAAATCTTATCCTAGTGATTAGCATGTATGGGAAATTTTAGGAGAGAGGGAGTATATAAAGCAGTCACGTGCAAACGACTGATGACCTGAACACATGTATTCGTTTCAATGAAATTTTTGAAATATAGTAAAGGTTCACTTTATTTGTAGTAAAAATAGGAAAAAGGAATTGTGAATTGGTTAAGGTGATGGTAATCAAAAATTAGCTTTCAGATTACGCCGATCAGAATGCACAAGAACTTTTTTCTGTCTTAGATTTTCATTTATGTGGATACAGAAATGAGCAGCATTGTAGATTGTTAAAGGAAGTGTTCATAAGTTATCTATATGATCGGCCAATTTAGTCAGTATGGTATAGTTTTACTCACTGAGCTTCTTATCAAGTAAGACTGTAAACACAATAATAGCTTTTTTCAATTCGGACTGTTAAAGACTAGTGTGATAATAAAACTACGATGTGTGAAGATGTTCTGAAATATTGTCTTCATCTTTTTTCTTGAACTTTGCAGGACACATTTGTCATAGTCTATATTATAAACCTGAATTACACCGTATTGTAGTAATACTTCTCACATTATTTGCTATTAGATCTTACTCAATTAAAATGTATATTGACGATATATATTACCATCATTTTTATGTACGTTTGAACTGTATTACTTGAAAGTATTAAAAATTTGGCTTATTTTTTTTCTACTAATTAAAGAATGCTAATTGTATGTACTCTTAATTTTTTTTCTGTTAGTAATTTACATGCTGTTACTTCTCTTGTGTTTTAAAAGTTGATAGAAGTTTCGTGTAAGTTCAATTATTTTTTTTATTCGACGTGAAAATACTTTTTGTTTGTAAATGCTAAATATTGTTGTAAACACTTTTGTACTATTTTTCAGTAAGTTGGATTCTGTGTGATTAATTTGTGAAGTTTAATGTGTCTGATTATCACATTTTATTTTTAAATGCATCGTTGAAGTTAGTGGATCGGATTAAATAAATAATAATTTAAAAAGCGTGGAATAACGTCATTAATATAAACTCCTCTTTAATCGTTTTCACGTATCGTACTTAATTGTGTACTGGTAGCAGGTGGTTAACGGTAAATGTTTCAAATGTCTTTATATCATCCCCAATTCACTCAACTCAAGGGTTCTTTTTTGTTTGGGAAAATCCTCATATGATATGATAAACACAGTAGATAAAGGTATCTTAAATCTGTCATATGATTATTACTTAAGGGACTATGTGAAATACTGTCCTGAATATCTACAGTGTTGTTTATTATCATTAGAAATGTTTTACGTAATGTATTGTCACTTTAACTTCACAAACGGGTACAAGGAGTAGAATAGGTTCAGATAGTCTCGTTGGCTAACTGCTCATTTATCAAAGTACAATAATTTCTCAACTTTGAATTTCAGGATATGGTTGGTGATACATTCACACTGACCATCCTACAAACGTCCAAAAATTATTTTTCAGTTTAAGTTAACAAAAGCTTAATTAAAAATTTTCATGACTTATGCTTAGTAAATACTATATATGCATTTTTACTAGTTTGTAAAGCTTTGAATCATCTTCCACCAGGTGGTACACATCCTTTTTCGGAATTGTGTTTTTACACTGAGCTAATAAAAAAATTGTCTATTAAAACTTGCCGATTTATCGTGTTCTATTATTTTTCGCTGTTTAATGGTTTTTGATTGCTCATTTGCGTGGTGTTCACTTCTTTATATAACACCTTTCTAACCAATTCTTGTTTTTAGTTTGAATTGACAATTTTTCACTTGTTCCAATAATCTCTCTTTCTCTTCATTAATTACCTAAACCTGTAGGATAAATCTTAATCTAGTTGTCGAGCCTGAAATTAGTTAACTTTACAGAAAGCTATTATCACTCAGTGTGTTTGTTTTTTTCTCAAAGCTTGAACTAATCAAAATGAAAACGTTGCTTCCAATTTCTATTTTGCTTATGAATATTTGTTAAAAGATTTCGCAAAATCAAATAGTATTGGGTTTTTATTTCGGCATTTTGTTTTTCAAACTCGTGAAATTCTTCTAACTGATTTTATGACTAGTCGCTTAGTGAAGTACACAAATTCTTAATTAAGTTTGTTATACTATGGTAAAAATAAGAACATTATTTTCATGTGTGGTTAAGAACTTATTCAAACTCAACCCTGTGGGTAGTCGATTCTGATATACGAATTCATTAGAGATGAAAGATTTAGCCCAACTATGCTTGTTTAGTTCTATGCAATCGAGTAATATTGAGGTTATGAATGATAATGCAAAATGCTTGAATAGTGACTTGTTTCCTTTCATTTACTATTTTTCTTTTCCTGTACTATCAGGTTATATAATTGATCTAACTCAGTCACATGATCCAGCCTTCATTATTTCTGGTTTGGGTATGGTTTTGGCAGCATTTTCAGTTGTTCCTATTATTATACAGCATTTTCGAAGAAGGCGTGCTCGCCGATTACGTCGTTTACAACAAAATTGTTCTGAAATTGTATTAGAAGCTCAAACGTAACAACGATAATGCTACTATTACTACTACTACTAATAATAATAATAATGGTTTTTCTATGATTCATCACAATGACCACTACCTTAAAAGACGATGTAATATTATCTTGCTCAGATTTTATTAATAGTCTTTTTTTCAACTAATTCGTTATATTTTGTTTCCTCTCTTTTCTCCTTGGATTGTATCTTAGATGTTTTGAATGTTTATTTCAGACTTGGTCCTGTCTTTTTCTTTGAGATTACTTTTGAAATCTACTGCTATTATTTTTTTTTTTCGAAATAAACATTGGTTTCACTTATCAATACAGTCCATAATGGCTGGTTTGATTTTTATTCGTTAAAATTTATACACAAATTTGTTAATTAACTATCTGTTCATCCATTTTTGTTTGAATCCGACAGTTTTATGTGTTGTACACCAATTCAAAAAAGTGCATTAGTCATAAAGATTATTCTTTATTTTATTCAACAAAATAATTGTAGCATTTTACTCTGCTTATAGAAGTTCAAATTACAGTTACTTTCTTTTTAAACGAAAATCAAATACACATACACAAAGAACTTTACATTCCACTCAGAAATAGAGTATTGTTTACGAATATCACTACTCAACTGCAAGCTCTTTTCGCTCCATTGTAAGTGTGCTTCGTATTGGCATTCTCTCTTCTGAAAACACCTATCGTTTTGTTTCTGTTGTTATTTAGATGTTTACTTTCCTTATATTAATCTCAGCCTGTTTGTATACTTTACTTTGTATCTTCTATCTCTTCATTAAACTTCTATAAACACTAGACATAATGGTGTAACTTATTATTTTCAGTGAATGTCAATTCAGTGAGGGACAAATGGTGCTTTCATGACTCAAATCTTTCTATTGGTTACGGCTTATTATTAATACAATCGCAACCAATACAGCTGCTTTGATTATTACTATTAGCAATTATAATAATCGTTACAGCTGTTAATAATTCTTCTTATTGGTATATTAATATTGTTGTCATCCTTACTATTATTATTTTTGTGGAACTTTACTAGTATTTAGATTCACAGATAATGTCACACTATTTTCATACTTTACGCATTCAAACATAGTTATTTTGTATGTGGATGTGAAAAAGAGGAATTTATTATTATAGCCGGTTTTGTTTCCTATATTCTTTCTTCATCTTCTGAGAGAGATATTCTTATTCAATGTACATTTTCAATTGTTTGTTCACCACATACATAAGTTTATTTTTCTTCATAGGTAGCAAAACATTCGGTAAACACTGTAGACGAGTAAATCTTTTCTTTTATATATATATATGCTAATGTTATATGATTTTATCATTACGCATTCAAATAATAAGGAAAAGTTGTATTTAACAGGGAATGTAGATGTTTGTTTGTTTTATGTCAACCAATACGAAAATTATTGTGGATGAAAAAATAGAAATAAACATTCTCTTAGTGTATATCAATTTTTACAGTTGACTGTACTTTGGCAAATACCCAAATATAATTTTGATGAAACGGATTCTTAATAAACTTTACTAAATCATACGTTGTTCTATCCATAAGTTTCATTACAATGAGTTTAGAATATGTATGTTCACCTGTTTATTTTGTATACTGATCAATCAGTTGAAATCCAAAAATAATTTGTCTCAAACATATACGATGAACATTAGCAGAAAAATAGATTTGTCTATCTACTGGATAACAGTTTGTTTCACAGTTATAAAATAAATAATACTGAATTTACTAGGTAATTAAATTGAATCTAAACAATTTACCTGGCACACAGTGATTAGTTACCGATAATGAAATCTTACATTTGGTATTAATAACGTCACTGTTTTCAATTAAGCCGGATTGCTTCAGTTAAACATCAGACAAGAGTCTGTCTATTGTCAAAGTGAAAGTAGTTGGGATTGGATTACTTTATGTCTATGAATGTTGAGGATATTCGTGAGTTAACAGTATTTGAACTCATGCCTTCGAATTATTACTCTGATCGAGCAAAATACAACGTGGTTATTTGTGTAGTACTCGATTGAGGGTTATTATTAATGATGTAAACCATCGACTAATTTACTTGAATCATGCATAACACATGCCAAGCTACTGTCAGCACCAATGTGTTACTCTGGTTTCTAGAAATAGTAATGATATCAGTTCACAAACTGTGTTAGAAGTAACAAGCATTTCAATTTATGATGTTATCTTATTGTTGTAGACTTCAAATATTGTGGGTCGAAATCGGTTGTTGAATTCTATCTATTCTGTATCTTCCCTTAAATTTTAATTTTCTTTACAGTACTTCAAGTAAAAGCGATAGATGAAATTATCTTGAGCAGCCAACTAGTCTGTCAAATAGTGGTCATTAGTTATCAAACGATTTATGAAAAAAGTTAATGAGTAGACAGCTTTGACATGATTTATGAACCTTTCAATGTGAATTGATTTATTATAGTTAGCAAAAAATGGTTGGGAGTTAGGATTGATGTTTAGCTCCAGGGTTACAGTTTGTGGATAAAAATTAGGGCTAGCGTGCTCTGTAGTAGTAATGCTAAACCCTTTTCCAGATATTTTTGTGCATTAAAACACTGAAAATCTTATAAACCATGGCATATCTACTTCGGTTTTTTATTATCCTGTACTTTTTCCCTGGAAAACATCACGTTCCTAGTGAAACGTTAGTACTCAACCTAATTCTTTTCTGATTTTTATCCCTGTAATTTTCATTCATTTTAAACATCCTGTTTTCTAAATATGGTAACATTTAGTTCGTTTCATAAGTAGCTCCTAATAAATTAAAAGTTATTATTCAACTCTCTTTGAATTTCGCACAAAAATTCAAAAACCGCTATCTCAAATCTGATGGATTTTGTGGTATTATTTTCTTCTGCTATACTCCACACGTTTTTTTATACTTTTAATCCATATATCCCATCTTGAGTGCTTCACTGTGAATGGTACTGGTTTTTCGTTCCTGTATTTCATCGTGTTTGATTTCCTCTCCTTATGCTAATATGAAATATGATAATTTAGACTTATTCCAGATCCCTGTACGTTTATTACTGATAGTTTATTTTTTATAATTAGTAAAGCATATGACTTGTTCGAATTAGGAACCATGTTGAGTTTTGAGATGTGTTTATTTCTATACCTACCACTTAGTTTGTGATATTTTCGACCACCTGCGCTGCAGAAACATCAATTTCATTCTGATGCAATCTAGTCTCTATTGATTATTTCATAGTTAATCAACAAATGATCATAAAATAACAAAACCATCTATTTAACTAGCTTTTGATCAGTAATAAATTGAGATTTACAATTATATAAACATTTATGCAGCGTGAAATACGACATGGGATTACCAAACACCGATATTGGTTAGGTATTTACAAACTTAGTGAATAAGAGGAGAATTTCTCATTCATATAATAAACTAACAGAAATGTGGAAAGATCGAATCGTAAATAAATTGTAGTTGGTATTCTTTCATACATAATTGCTTCTGTCACTGCTTGTTAGGTTTTCTCGAATTTTCGGTACTAAATATTTGGTATATGTTGTCTGACTTTTAAGTACTCATAGTATGGTGATTGAAAGTAATCAAGAGAAAACCCTGGACCCAGGTTTCATATTTGTTGATGCTCATCAAAAGAGTGTAACTGTAATCGTGAGAGAACTGCTTCTTCTTAGGGTATTTGACACATTTCACTCAGTCTCACAATCTGAGATGCTACCACATAGATTATGAAATCACGGACAAATTGTCGATCTGTTTTACTATGCTTCTATTTGCCTATTTGCTTTTATTTACTTACTGGTTTTAGAATTTGAGTTATTTACATCTTGCCGTTAGTATAGCGGTGGATTAGTGATAAAGGCATTCCGCTATCGAACGTTCGACTATAATTTCTAGAACTACCTCACACCTGTTTGGATAGAATAGTGGTATCATTAGCCTAGCTTCAAAAGGATAACTATGAAACTAGAATACATTTTATCTAGCTTATTGATCTAATGATTTTTACTCTGATGTGTTGTTTTGTATAAGTGTATTTTCAAAACATGGATGAGCCATTGTAATCTGTTTAGATATGTGTTAGAGGTCATTCGAAATAATGAAGTAAGGAACGTTACCAATACACGTTGCTAATCTATTCAACTGTTTTAAGATGAAATAGTCTGAGTTCTGTTTTTAGTTAGTCCTGATTTGGTCTTAATGAGCTGAAAAGAAACTCGATAGATATCTTAAATTTGTCAGTTAGACTGTGCCTATATCGTTGGTCAATATCACCGAATGATCATAGTGACGATGATAATACTGTGAAATTTTATCAAATAGTTACATATCCACGTGCGAATTACTGAACAGCTGTTTTGGAATCTTGTTTTTCAAGCCTAGGCCTAGAACGACGGGTATCATTTATTGTTGATATTCTGTATACTACATAGCATTTGATTTGGCGACTAAAGTACTTCATTAACCGGAACTAATAAGTTATTTTAATGTAAATGTCAATAAAGGAAGTCACTTCTAGTCAATTTGTGTGATATGTTTATTTAAGAGTTAGAATATAAACAAACTTGTTAATTTTTGAATAATAGTTATGTCAGTATCTCTATCATGTCAACAAATCGAAATCAGTACAAATTAGCTGTCAGTCATAATGTGGCTCAAGCGATTTTTAATTATTGTTAGTTAAATTACAATATCTCAATTGCTTACGTTTTTTGTTAATAACAAATAATGAACTTTTTATGATTGACATGAGTGAAAAGTCTTCATATGTAATTAGCATCAATTTCTTTGTGAACGAATCAGGTAAAAAGAAATAAGTCAGGGTGTTAGATAAAAAGTCTGTATTAGACAGTTCTCAAATTCGTCAGCGGACATATGGATGATAATTTCCCTAGAAAACTGACTATTCGATTCTTGTTAAAACTAACTCCAACTTGCAAGAAGTTTGAAATAGTTCCAAACTATTTGCTTACTTAATAGATTAATTATTAAAAATGGTAATATATGTGAATAAAGGAACGTATTTGGAAATTCGACTGATGTACTGCAGTAGTATATAGATAAAATTTATCATTTATATTCACTTCATATAGAACCATTTACTTATGTTGGCCACTTGTTTAATTCGGTTACTACTGTAATATACTCTTTTTTTGTTATTCGAACCTGCTACTTTGGTTGAAAAACCAACGGTAAAAAACTGACGTACTTATATCTGTCTGTGGTTAATTACGATAAATCTTGATCAAGTGAATTCCCATGTTATCTCTCACTTATCCTTTAGCTGATATATTTCTGACTGAATCAACCTTAAATGGTCCTATATCTGACTCCAGGTGTCTCTTATGAATGATTGTTATTGAAATATACATCCCACCAATCCTCCTATATTATTATCGACTTAAACTGCGTTAGTGAATAACGGAATTAAATAAATACGAAAATGAAGTATATTTCATACAACCGTTGACCCGAACAGACAATCGTTGGGGAAGGCATGTAAGCAAACTCGATTTAACCAAACATGAATCGTTATTTATAGTCAAAAACAAGTTACAGACATGTGATGAATAGGTAGGATATGCACACACATACGTTTATATAAAAGCAGCCAAGATTGATAAGCGAATAATTACCAAGGTCAAAATGTTACTCAAGAAGGATGAATAAATTGGTCTGTCCGGAAGCTAGAATAAGCTATGTGGGCTCGACATAGCAACGGACACTACAAACCAATCAATCCACATTCCAGTTACGAAAATATTTCAATTAGGTATTTTAAGTCCGTAAAATTTAAGAATTACGACTGAACTAGACAGCATGACTATGTTAGGAAAAAACAACTTTACACGTTCAAAGTCTCTATCGTCATGTGACGTCATCGCGCATCTATTTTAAAAATACCTCGTTTTATTTCAAGGAATATTACTTGTCTATTGATATCCTTACATAAATAAAATTTACTCTTGAACTGTGTTTACAATGGTTATCCAGGACCAGGGTTTTTGTCGATTTGTAATGAATTGACTAGATGCACCGGCAATCAAGTTTTGATGCCCACACCGAGACTCTAACGCTGAATTAGATTGCCGAGCCTAGATAGCCACTAACTCCTTAGATTGGTGTGATATTTTTGTTTGTATAAGTCTGTATACTCCGTCTTTAATATTCAGGATTATATGCAGTGACTCTCGTGAAACTTGTTTCCCTGGAGGTGGTCCTTCGATATTGCTCGTGTCTATAATGTGATCACGGTTTCACACTGCTGACTAGCAGTAGAAACTTGAGCGGAAAATGAATCATTACATGTATTGTTTGGTGAATTATTATCCATATGATCGAGCTGGTTGTGAATTACTCTGGTAGATACATATACATATTGTGAAGAATGCTATTATTTGTTAAGTAGATAACATGCAGTCTTTTGTAACATCTGTATCACTTTGATAAAAAGCAAATTAAACCCATTTTTCTGCTACATAACTTTTATACACAGTTGTTGTTATTATTATTATAAAGC